ACACACACAGACAAGCAGACACAAGTAATCAGACATTCAGGTGGTGGCTTTGAAGTCTCACATCGATTATTGGGACAAGTGCCTAAATTGTGACTAAATAGGAAAATGTCAGAAAGCTGCATAATGACACACACACACACTCTCTCTCTCACACACACACACACACACACACACACCACACACAGGGCCTTATAAATACTTAATGCTGTTCCTCTGGGGTCACGAACAGCAGCGCTCCACCCTGACATTAAATCACATTAAAAGAGCTGATAAATGAACAACACACACACACACACACACACACACACACACACACACAAAGGAACAAAAACATGCTCACACAAATCATGGAAAATGTCAGCATTTAAATCACTTCAAAAGACTGGATGTCAATATTTAATCACATTCATAAACTCCCCCCTATATGTGCAAATATAAACCTCATTGCACATAGAAACTAAATCCACAGTGCTTTGAAAGGGCACTAATTTGTTGAGTGGTGTTGTATTCAGCCCCATCCCTAACAAACACACAGGAAAATAGTAATGTTTAGTGCTCATCCATAATGTAGGACAGTGTCACGTTCATCCGGCAAAGACAGAAAATACTCCAGACAGAGGGAAGCGATGCATCCACTGATGATCTTACTGACCCACACATAATAAGCACGCAAGCATCACTATCAATATCACTCATACTCCGGGGTTTTGAACAAGTCCTACCGAACATGAATAATATCTCAAAAGAGGGGTATGAGCTGTTACTTTACTAGGAGACTGGACACAGGAACTAGGGTGTTCTGAGTGGTTACTAGGAAGTTACTAAGCAACTTGAGATTTTTTTCACTGGTTTTATTGTCCACCAGGTGAAAAATTCCCACACTGGAGGAGAAACCCAAGCCACAAGAAGAGGCATCAAGGTGCAGGACTCCTCTCACTTAAATCAGTTAGCAACCATTTAGAATGCCCTAGCAACTGCTGAACAACTTTCTAGTAACCACTCAAAACACCCTAGAAACTGCCTAGCAATTAGGGATGTGCCTGAAGCCCGAATACCATGTTCTGGTGTACTATGGAACCCCTAAAGGGAATAAATATGAGATGGGACAAAACAAATATACACATATAATTCAGTGCTTTCTCTTGCAATTCATGATCACACTCTGTGTATACTACGGAGCGGCAGTACTTGCCAGACATTTTCCGTGCCTTTCCGAATACGGATTTAGGCTTCGGGCACACCCCTACTAGCAACTCTTAAGTAACCACTCAAAACACCTTAGCAACCGCCCATTGTGCCCTAGCAACTATATAGCAACCTTAGTAACTGCCTAGTATCTCTCTAGTAACCACTCAGAACACCCTAGCAACACCCCAGGATTGAATCGAATCATTGACATGATAATCGAATCGAATCGTGAAACCATTGAAGATTCACGCCCTTAAAGGGGTCCTAATTATGCTCTTTTACAAAGTCTTCATTTTGTTCAATCAGAGTATAAAGTGGAGGAGTTATTAGAAGCCATGTTGGGTGATGGAAACAGAAAGGAGTGTTTTCAGTGTGCGGCATTAATTGTTAAGCTGGAGAAATGGTGACTACCGTAGACTTTTATACATATACATATTGCAAAATACATACATTTGAACTAGCAGTCTGTTATGTATTGTAATATTCACTGAAGAGTTCTCTCTCACGTTATCCTTTAGTCCTGAGGTTTTAAAGAGGAAGGCTACGGATATCATCTTGCTTCCCCTGCAGTGTGTGTCAACACAGCCTCAAGCAGAAAAGGGAATTAATGTAGTCCTGAAGGAACAGCTATCCCAGAAAGCCTCATGCATTTCCCTCCTCATGCAGAGTTTATCAAGCCTAGCTCAGCTGGCACACACAGTAAGTAGACTTCTGATTAGACTGTCACTCCAGTAAAGAATTTCTTAGGGCTGGTTCACACTGAACCCTTTTTTTGTGTTCCATTGCACTGCTTTTTAAATTGTTTAAATGTGCTGTAGATGAATGGCTTTGACCATGAACGCAATATTTTTTAAGACATTGTGTTAAAGGGGTCCTATTATGCTCTTTTACAAAGTCTTGATTTTGGTTTGGGGGTGTACTAGAACCGGCTCTCATACTAGGTTGTTCGAAAAACACATTATTTTTCACATATTTTACATTATTACAACACCTCTCTCCCCAGTCTGGCATGAACGGCTCGAATAGTTTCTGTATCAAATGAAAGCCCGCCTTCTGAAATACGAAATGTGCTGTGATTGGTTAGCTGGGCCAGTGTGTGTTGTGATTGGCAGCACTCGGCGCCTGGTCGGGAAATGTCATACCCCTTACCATAGCCATCTACGAGCTTCAGTGTAAATATTGCGTCAATATCAAATCAATATCAGCCCGATTTAAACCCGGATGATTGTAACCACTCTAAGTTCATCTGCCTTGGGAAAGCTAGCGTGTCTCCGACATAGTGATAACACTCGTTGCCTTCTGTAGTGCAGGTCAACCAGGTCTCGTCCCATTCGTCGATATTTGTGATATCACAAATCCCGGAAAATACGCATTGTAGTCCAAACGAGTCGTTCGTTGTAGTTTTTGAAAAGTGATTTGTGTTAAATAAAATATCTCCTTTTGAAATCGACTTTGAGCTTTGTAATTTTGCAGATATTTTTTATGCTCAAATAGCAACATTACTGACTAACTAAAGTTGAAAAAGTGAAAAAGCATAATAGGACCCCTTTAACAACTACATAGCGATGCCATGGCAGTCACTCAACACCCTTGCATTGTGGAAGTGAGTTTTGCACAGACACACACAGATTTCTTCCGTCTTTTCTTGTGTTTTATACACTCACGTTGTCTGGTCGTTGGTGAATTCCAGCTCTCCGTACGTGTCCTCGTAGTCGACCCCTCCCCCTTGGGCCGTTCCGGGCTCCGTGTGGTACGGAATGATCACGGTCCCGCGGGCACCAGAGTTCCGGACCACTGTCACCTCCATGGTACCCACGCTCTCACTCACTCGCAACAGGCGGTCCGTAAAAGTGAAGATCCCCGCATGGTCGTCATCCAGGATGGTGACCGTGGACATTAGCGGTTCCACCAGCTGGGCCTTGGGAGCCTGATCTGCGTCGTCACTCTCAAACATACCCTCCGCATCACCAACACGCAGGTTCAACAAACGCACAAAGAAATGTTCATCTTCCTCAAAGATGTCATCGTCGATGATGCCCACCTAGAAAGCCAGACATACTTTCAGTAAAACAGTTTTACTTCAGTAAAGTTTAGAACATGCACAGAAATAGTTCTTGGACAAGTACAACAGGAACTTAACATTCATCTCACAAGGAGTTGTAGAGCTCTGACTTTTCTGATCAATGTGTCCATCACTCTGAATCCTCTCTCAGTCTTTTTGGCAAAGAGACGGTCAATCATTGCCACTCAACCAATGACAGACACTACAGCACTGTTGTCATGGATTCACGGCCCTGTCCATCTCAGTGGAGTGGACGTTTGTCTAAAAGGAAGTGTACTACATGAAAGATAAAGAGTTTTTTTTCTTTGGAAGCGGTTGTTAAGGTACTAAAGCATTGTCCTTGGGAAAACCTGTTCATTAAAGATTCCTATAAATGGACGTACAAGAATCAGTACTACTGTAGATTAAAACCTTTTGGTCAAGAACTTTGCTGGACCAAACTGTATGTTATGGACATGTTCTTAGAAAACTTACATTGAAAGGAGCTTTCATGCAAAGTTTGGATACTTGAGACCAGATCCACTAACAGGTAGTTCAACTTATTGACCAGCTAGACCACCTTGAACCATAAATCAGTTTGAACAAGGTAGAAACCATGTAAAACCATCTACAGGTTTCAGCTGGACCAAACTGTATGTTGTGGACATGTTCTTAGAAAACTTACACTGAAAGGAGCTTTCATGCAAAGTTTGGATACTTGAGACCAGATCCACTAGCAGGTAGTTCAACTTATTAACCAGCTATACCAACTTAGACCAGCTAATGACCATAAAGTTGGACAAGGTAGAAACCATGTAAATCCATCTACTGGTTTCAGTTGGACCAAACTATATGCTGTGGACATGCAGTATTCTTAGAAAACTTACAACTTCCATGCAAAATTTGGATAATTGAGACCATCCCAGTTGAGTCAAGATTCACTAGCAGGTAGTTCAACTTCCTGACCAGCTAATGGCCATAAATGATCAGTTTGGACAAGGTAGAAACCATGAAAAACCATCTACAGGTTTCAGCTGAACCAAACTTTATGTTGTGGACATGTTCTTAGAAACTCATGTAGAAAGCAACTTCTAATAACTCAAAGTTCACGGAAATACTGATTTGAGGATCAATCATTGGTGTCACTTCAGAGTATTCAGATACTTGAGACCCTTCCCTAGTCAAGACCAGATCCATTAGCAGGTAGTTCAACAATTAAAGGTAGTTAACCAGCTAGACCAGCTTGGAGCAGCTAATGACCATCTACCGGTTTCATCTGGACCAAACTGTATGGTGTGGACATCTTAGAAAACTTCCAAAGAAAGCAATTTTCATGCAAAGTTTGGATACCTGAGATATCCCAGTCGAGACCAGACCCACTAGAGCAGGGGTGTCCGATCCTGTTCCTGGAGGGTCACTTACCTGCAGAGTTTAGCTCCAACCCTAATTAAACACACCTGAACCAGCTAATCATGATCTTCAGACTCACTAGAAACTTCCAGGCAAGTGTGTTGGAGCTAAACTCTGCAGGACGTTAGCAGCACTGGACACCCCTAAACTAGCAGGTAATTCAAATAGTTAACCATCTAGACAAGCTTGGACCAACTAATGATCATAAAGGATCCATTTGGACAAGATAAAAGGGTTTCAATTGGTAGACAAGATTTCACATGGATTTTTCTTTCACTCCTCCTCACCTTAATTTCTTTCCTGGTTTCTCCCGGTTTGAACACCAGCGTCCCTTCGCAGTACTCATAATCTGAGCCGGCATTGGCTGTGCCATCTTCTGTACAGTAGTCGACATAGAAAGTGCTCTCCCCCAGGCCTCCTCGACACACCACGGGTATTGCAATGGTGCCGCAGTTCTCCATGCACTGGCTGTGCGCACTCTCGAAGGAGATGCGGCTGCAGACAGCCAAGTCGTCCTCCTCCAAAGCCTCATCGCCACCTGTCACGGCAGCACGGCGAGCGTGATCGGCTGCGTGTTTCTTCAGCACATTACCGGCCCCGATCATCATGCGTGTGGCCTGGACGCGGTAAAAGGCGCGACTTTTCTGCTGATGGAGGAGGGCGTAGTAGTTGGCCAATTCCACCAGCTGATCCAACTCCTTATCTGGATATTTCTGCTTCAGTTCCTTCAGGATACGGATCACCTGCCAAGGAACATTCAAAGGTCAAGGAAAGGGGAAAAAATATGGGCTGTTCGTGGCAAGTGTAATGAACGTTCTGTCATCATTTGCTCACCCTCACATTGTTCCAAACCTGACAATAGCGGTAGGCTGCAAATCTGAAAGCTCTCACATATTCAAACTTGACCCCTTAATCTGATGTAATCTGCCAGGTTTGACGTGAATGACACCAAACAACTTCATGGTTCATACACAAATTCGTATTACATTAAAAGGGTTAGTTCACCCAAAAATGAAAATTAGCCCATGAATTACTCACCCTTAAGGCATCCTAGGTGTATATGACTTTCTTCTTTCAGACGAATCCAGTCGAAGTTATATTAAAAATTGTCTTTGATCTTCCAAGCTGTTTAATGGCAGTCAGCGGGTGTTGCAGTGCATCAGTCCAAAAGAAGTGAAATAAAGCACATCCATCCATAATAAAAAGTGCCTCACACGGCTCCGGGGGATGAACAAAGGCCTCCTGTAGCGAATCGATGCGTTTTTGTAAGAAAAATAACCATATTGAAAACTTAATAATCAATTTAATCTAGTTTGCGCTCACTGTTGAACACGGAAGCATATCTGGGTGGATGACGTAGGACGTCGGCGTTGCGCATGCGCCGCTCAGAAGTGACGAACGCAGAAGCGCAGGGGAGAGATCAAAATAAAACAACGGTCACTAATTAGAAGTACAAAACGAGGATTTGTAAAGAAGAATGTCGGAGGATTTCGATATAAGCCAAGAGGAGACTGGTTTTCCTTTGCTAAAGTAAGGAAACTTTGCTTCCTTCGCTCCTGTAAACAAATGTTGGTTTACACGAGACTCACTGGCGCATGCGCAACGCTGAACTCATACGTCATCAGCCCGGAGCTGCTTCCGTGTACAACTGTTGGCACAAGCTACATTAAAGTGATTATTATGTTTTGAATATGGATATTTTTCTTACAAAAACGCATCGATTCGCTACAGGAGGCCTTTGTTCATCCCCCGGAGCCATGTGAGGCACTTTTTATTACGGATGGATGCGCTTTATTTCACTTCTTTTGGACTGATGAACTGCAACACCCGCTGACTGCCATTAAACAGCTTGGAAGATCAAAGACAATTTTTTATATAACTCCGATTGGATTCATCTGAAAGAAGGAAGTCATATACGCTTAGGATGGCTTGAGGGTGAGTAAATAATGGGCTAATTTTCATTTTTGGGTGAACTATCCCTTTATGATCTAGAGCAGAGGGAAAGATTTTGCCGAAACAACTTCAGTTTTTGGCCTGTTCCTCACATTAAGCTCTTACTTTACTTTAGAAGAATTGGAATATAGCACTTTAGCTGTATGGACTTTTTTATGGCTATTTTTGCTATTTTCTTTTCTGGAGTTTGACCACTGGTCACTCTTTTGGAAAACTATAAAACCATTTTTTTTTTAAAAAGCCACTAAGGGAACACGGTGACGGAAAAAATATGAGATGGGAGGAAAAATTACAGTTCAATGCTTTTGGTATTGTTAGCAAAACATTAGCGTTGTCTCACAAAAGTATTGGGTTCTCTTGCAAAAGTATTGCATTACTCAGATAAATTTGAAGGTGAAGTTTCTTGGGGGAACGCAAAATCTTTATGAGAGAATGTAAATGCATAGAAATAAAAATTTTCCTCCCATCACCTCGTCTCTTTGGGGGCTCCATACTTTTTATTACAGTGTTTCGGTTTGTCAGGATGAGAAACATGTCGACCGTGGTGAACTTCCTTGTATTTATTACTGTATGTGCAAGTATTTATGTATAAATGTTTGTTTAAATGACTGTGTGTGTCTTTTCTCACTTCTTTACGGCTCTCGTCCAGGTCCTTGGCACCGTCCATGTAAACGGTCGTGCTGTTGGAGTTGGGTAGAGTAGCCATGGTGCCTGTTGTGTTCCCGGTTCCATCCTGGTAATGTTCTTGTGTGCCGATCCCTACGGCTCCGGCCCTCAATGGAAACTTGCCGTCCATCATCATCTCCATACCTTTGGGGGTCATGTCCCCCTCGGTCTCCACAACAACACCAGTCCTTTTGTCGGCACGGTAGCGTTTGGACATGTACTTGTAGAAAAGGAGGCGCCGGTCAGCAATCCAGGCCAGAATCACACAAACGGGGAAATAGCAGAGAGTGACCAGAGCTTCCCATACCTACAACACACGCATACACACCAATACAGCAAAGTACCAGTAGATAAACAACATTTATACTCATTTAATGTGACTTGTGACTTGAAAAAAAAACTGTTTGTCACACACAAATTGTACTTGTAAATATGAGCAAATTTCCCAACATCTCTAGGTCACATTTCCAAGTAAGAAAAAAGTATATATTTTCGATTAAGAAAAAAAAACAACAGCAATTTTTAGGCAGGTTAATATATTTTTGGCACTGTTTTTTTATTATTTTCATGACATTTATGCACATTTCCCTGCAAAACTCTCATAAATATAATGTCCAGACAGTTACTTTGCTTTTTGGTAATTCTCAATATTCTCATTGGTGATTCTCAATAGATTCTCATTACTGTATATCATTATTTTTCACATCTCAGTAATAAGAAAGAGATTTTTTTAGCCATTCACTAATGAGATTTGGTATTATCTTAACTGCCATGAAAATAATGTCACAATTCTAAAACAGGGTTCATTTTCTTTCTCTCTCTCTCACACACACACACACACACACACACACACACACACACACAGTATATACACAGACACACAGTATATATATTTGAGCTTTATATATATCTGTATATATATATAGAGAGAGACAGGCTATATATAGGCCCTATATATACACAGTATATATATATATATATATATATATATATATTGTTCTCTAAGGCTTTGTACTGTATATAATTTTTGTTGTAATCAAGTGTTTTGTATTATATGCATAACTATGCATGTACTACATGTTAATTTACATATAACTAAATTGATTTGCACGTTTTAAAACTGTATAAAAAGTTGATCACAATGTTAATTTTAGGGGTGATCTAATCTAACCAAGATCTAATCTAGTCAGGTTTTGTAAGATTCACTCACATACAGAAATACAATGTCTCACACACACACACACACACACACACACACACACCTCCACGACTCCAGGTGAGATGATGGACAGGATCAGGTAGAGCCAGATGTAAGCGAAGATACTCCAGAATGCGGTGATGAAGAAGACTCTCAGATGTTTGATCTTCCTCACCTCGCCGTCAGGAATCACCCACACACAGATTCCAATGATCACAAACATATTAAAGGCAGCGCTGCCCACAATGGTGGCCGGACCGAGCTCACCGGACTCAAAACCATGACCACACACCTGAAATACACACACATGACAAAATCAGCCAATCACAACATATCTGCTGTTTAATTTGGAGAAGGATTTTGGACCAATGAGATTTAACTGTGGGCGGGGCTACTCAGCATGACACAACAAAAATAGAAACCAAGCGACTAACAAAATTGTTGTGAAGTTTTATACGTTGCAATTGTTTAAAACAAAATTAAATTAACACAAAAGAGAAAGGATTCATTGCTCGAATTCCAAACATAAATGCCTTCAATTTATGAAACCAGAGTTATTTTAGCATTATATATACTGTGATGTTATTTAATATTTTAAATGAGCTTATATTTATATATTTCCAGTTTTTACTTTTGCTTAAGTTTTAGTAATTTTATGTACTTATGTATTAGTTTTAGTAGTTTAAATATTTATATTTTTTTATTCAAGATTCAGTAATTTTAGTACTTTAAGTTACTTATTTTATTACACTTAGTTGCAAATGCAACCTAATGCAACAAGTTAAGAAAAACAACATTTTTAATTTATTATTATTTTTTAAATTTAAGTTTGAATAATTATTTTTTTTAATTCAAGTTTGATTAATTTTAGAACAGCTGTAAATGCAACATTTCTAAGATAATGTTAGATATAATATTTTTTTTATTAATTATATATATATATATGTTTTTTTTTTTGGATGTTGCAATTCTGATTTCGTTGTAAACGAAAAACTGTTGAAACTTGTCTTTCCAAGTTGAATGGGCATTCAGTCTACACAAACATATAAGTGTTTAAAAGCTTGTCATTAACAGTCAGAACAACTAAACAACAGACGGATTGTGTCACTTTCCATTCAACATCAGATCAGTGGGTGTTGTTCACATTCAATAACATTCAGTGCATTGAACGCAAGATATGTCACATTCAGTGAACATCCTTGAAAACGAAGTGAATGTCCTTGGGTAAGATAAAACAGAATGAAATAAGAAGCACGCAGGTGTTGGTTATCAATGCGTGTGACTCTATCACTGATATCTCTCTATATCAACACCAGCACAGAGCGGCGAGCCTTCGGGAACGGTCTGTGACAAACAGATAATTCACCCCGTGCCTGCTTTCTGGCTGAGCTTGTGATGAGATTTCACACTTCTGATGCCAAAAATCCACTGAATATTCTGCCTGACTGTTTCCTTCACTGAAGACTGCAACATCTCAAGATGAATGATGCATTGTGATTATGTTGTTTAGGTGCATTAGCCGTACAACAATAATGTGTACGTGAAACCCTTGAGTGAAGCGTGGTGGCCTGACGGATGTCCTAACACATTAGATCTTGTGATGCAGAGTGACAAACAAAAGAGAGACAAATGTGAGGCAATAAAGCTCAGCTAGATGTGCTAAATGTTGCGGTGCACGTCTCCCGCAGGCAGACTTGTTGATTCCATGCGGTGGAAGACGAGGGACGAACCTGTCTCATTAATAAACATGATCTGGATCCTTATTAGCGGGAGCTGCGTGCGGTCTGCAGGCCAGATCTTACACAGCATGGATCTCGCTAACTATCTCCATCTTGAAGGGCAAAGAAGCTGTTTAACCCATCAAAATGGGCATCAAACACAATTTGTTGTCCTGTTTTTACATGCTACGGAAACTGGAAGTGCCCTGGAAAAAAAAATAACAACAAAAAGTGTGAAAACCCCTCTAAAAGTAGAAATCCAGGTCAGGTTCCAGATGGGAAAACCAGATTAAGACTGATAAACCACCATAGACTTGTTTAAGATGCCCGGTTTACAAAATTTAGAAGAAAGAAACCGTTTTCACTCAGAAATAGTTAGTAAATTTACAAAAAAAATTACAAAGAAACAGCCAGTGTTATTTTACTGTCATTGAGATACTATTATAGTTTATATTAAAATGATTACATTAAAAGTGAAAATTGAAACTAATATATATATATATATAATTAGTTTCATATATAAAAATGAAAATATATAATTAGTTTCAATTTTCATTTTTAATTATTTTATTTTATTTTATTTTTTTGTTAATTTGTCGATACACTTGATTAAATGTTTTAGTTTTAGTCATCAAGTTAAACTTTGGAATCAAGTTATCAAGTTAAAATAGCTAGCTATAAT